CCTGAGCTAACCGTCCGCGACGTTCACAGCGCGAGCTCCCTCTGCAAAATGTACTTCAGGGAGCTCCCGACCCCCCTGCTGACCGACCAGCTGTACGACAAGTTCTCGGTAAGCACGAGGCAACGCCTTTCCTTTCCCTCTTCGCTGGGCCTCTTGGGAGATGGCTGCAGCAGTGCCCCAGCTCTGAGGCCCTTCTTCTGTTAGCCCCATGGGGTTTACTCGCATGTCTTTGCCACATCCTGCATCGTGCTGATGCCGCTTCTGGTGGCCCCAGGAGGGTGGTTATTTGCATATTCATAATGCTTGCGAGAATTCCTGTGTTGTTTGTTTGTTTGTTGCTATTCCCCAACTATTTCTGGAAGGGGTGGGGATTAATAGCCACGTGTACTTGGAGATGAATGCCCCCTGCGAGGAGCTGAGCTGCCCAACCAGGCTGTACACCGGCCCGGTGCTTGGACTCCTTGGCCCTGGTGGCACCAGCTGCGTGCCGCTATGTTTGCCAGATGCCTCTGGGGAGGCCTAAAATCTTTCTCAGTGCTGACCAGCAGCGCGCTGTGCCCATGGTTCCTGACCCTGTGGCAGGTATCTCGCCTGATTTGTGTCTCAATCCTTTTCTGCCCTTTTCCAGGATGCTGTTGGTGCCACTACGGAGGAGGAGCGGCTGGTCAGAATGCGGGACGTCATCCAGCAGCTGCCCGCTCCTCACTACAGGTCAGTGCTGCCCTCAGCCTGCTGAGCTCAGCCCTGCTGCACTTCAGAGGGCAATGGTGCGATTCCAGCCTTTGTCTCACGCGAGCAATGGGATGCCTGGGTATGCTGAAACCCTGCATGGGGTTAATTTGTGGGGTCAGTTCCTGGGCACGGGGGCACGCTTGGTGCAGCTGATGGCCGTGGCTGTGCTGTGCTGGTGCTGGGTGCTGCAGCATGGTGCTTGGTCAAGTTGGATCTACTTCATCTTCAGCGACAGTAGCAATAATAACAACTAGTGTGAATTGAGGTTTGCTTTGTGAGTCGCAGCACGGCATGCTGGCTGGTGCTGAACATTTGCCGCTCTTGTTTCCCAGGACCCTGGTGTTCCTGATGAGACACTTGGCCTGTCTGGCTGCAAAGAGCTCTGTCACCAACATGCACGCTAAGAACTTAGCCATTGTGTGGGCTCCAAACCTCCTAAGGTAAACTTCTTTTTCCGTTTGTACAGAACGCTTACATCTGTTCTCCAGTAAAATAAAGCAGTCCTCCCTTCTTCTGCACCACATGTGCTCTTCTCCTGTAAAATGTGCAGTGAGTGGCTGCCAGCAGAGCAGGAGCCTGGACTGTTCTCCAACCCCACGGGCACAATTTCTAGCTGAGCATTGCTGCTCTCTTGTTTAGATGGGACTGGTGTGTCCTTGATCAGCCAGGAGAACTTCTTCAGTGGCATCACTGATTGCCCACTGCGGAAGTCTCCGGAGCCCAGTTTGACAGCTTTGGGCTGCAACAGTTCAGACCCGGGAAGCGATCTTGGCTGAATGACTTCTAAAACCTGCC